TCCCATTCCCTGTGTCACTCTAAAAAGTGTTTCATGGGAACCCTGAGGGACAAACTGTGTATGCTTGAAGCTCCTGAGCTCTTAAACCCCCAGCCTGGCAGCAGGTATGAGTAAGATGGGAAATTGCTGCCCTGCTTCAGTCCTGTCCAACAGGAGGTTAGAGGTTTCAGAGATATACCCACTTACAAATTCCATGAAAAATTGATGGTTGGGCTGAGGAAATACTCAAATTAGCATCCCAGAGGGAAAAGGGGCTGCAGCATCCTCTCCACTGCTTTTTCTTCCTCTAATTTGCCAATCATGGAACATCTGCAGCGCACACAGCTTTTGGCCCATCTCATACCAATACAGGAATGAGGAAAGGTGGGAAAAGAAAAGAAAATTTATTATTGCACTGATTTTGTCAGATGAGAGACCTTCAGCAGCAAAGGGGCTTAGGACACAAACCTTCCAAGCAAGCAAGAACTCCCTAAATCTTCATTACTGGGGATGCAATAACATCCTCACTGGTCTACAGAGAACTTGGCAAAAATAGACTCTGGTATCAGCTCAGAGGACTCTTGATTATATGGTATCACATTATCTCTGAAATTAATTTTCAGTCATATTAGAAAAACAAATGCTTACTCTGGGCAGATAAACTGCTGTCCCTTGAGCTTTGGTTTGATCCTACTTGTGCTGTGAAATAACAGTAGTTCTGTGGACTTCACCAGGGTTACCCTGGACTTGGGGCTGCACAAGATGAGGTAGAAAGCAGCCTACAGGCTTCAGAAAACAGAAGTGAATGGCTGGGGCAGTGTTCAGAGAGCTCTCCTTTACCTAGGGGTTGTTTGACACCTGACACTGAATGTGAATAGTCAGAACTGCAAGTAAACAGGAGCAGAGAAACCACAAGACAGGTGACCTTCAGTAGCAACAGAGAGTAACCAGAGGTGACCAAGGTAAACACATGGCACAGACCAGTTATATCAGTCAGAGCTTCATCAATGTCAGCAGTGTCCAAAGGTCCAAGGCTGCTGTTTCAAACCCCACTCATCAGTTCAGCATTGCTGCTGTTTTCTTTTCATGACCAAATTTTTGCTGCTCATTCTCCTTTGAGAACCTCATTCCCCTTGGCACCTTCCTCCAAGGGGTGATTTTTTTTAAGGTCTGCTGGATTTGTTTTTAAAAGGTGAGGGACGTGAGAGGTTGAGCAACAAGGAAAACAGTGCTATTTTCTTTGTGACTCATGCCCTGCCCTCACCCCTGCACACTTCAGGGTCAAAGAGCCTTTGACATTCTTTAAATATTTACTTTGATGATAGTTCCTTCATGGAGGGAGCAGAGATAGCACCTGCAGCAACACCACCTATGAAAATCCATATAGCTCCTACCATTCAACCACATGCATTCAATCTATTACTTTTCCACAGGATGGTTTTTAAACACTGTTTTGCACACAGTGGTAAGCCCACAGCCTTGACTTTCTCCTTGGTTTTGCCAGGAGGGTGTTTTGTTCCACTTGATGGTGTCCCTCCTTCTCTGTCAGTTCAGAGCATCTGCCAACTCTCTCAGCACAATACACTGTAAATCACCAAAAACCTCTTTGGCATTACAGAACCAATGGCTGTGTCTGTACCCCTAAGTTCTCCAAGAAACCAAAGGTCAGGGCTGTGTCCTCAGCCTGCACTTTTTGGGCAGAAGGGAAGGATGGTGTGGCCAAAGCAAGAAAACAACAGAGATATTCTCCTCTTGTGTTTGCAAAGGATATAGAGGATTAGCAGTGCAGCTCTAAGGAGTGATGCAAGAGATACCAGGTTTGTCCAAACACTTGGCTTGGGGCTGCTTCTGACACTGCTGCAGGGTCCAATCTGCCCCCATGAAGCCTCCTCCCAATTTAGTTGTCTGCATTTAAAGCTTGAGACCATAAACCAAACATCTCAGTGCTTTTATCCACATGTCCCACTCCACTGAAAAGGCTGAGAACTTTAGTCAAGTTCCCCACCCCTGGATCTGACTCCCAAAGCTCCCAAGCTGCAGCAGAGCACACAGCACCTGCACACCAGGAAAAATTCCTTAAGGTTAAAGGCCAGATCTTCCCACTTTCCACCTGCGTGCCCCAGGTGGAGCATGGCTTTATGGCAGGGCTTGGAGACTGCTTCTTTCACAATTAGCAGTTAAGAGAGTCTTACAGGTAAAAACACATAGCTGATTTGAGAAGCTTCCCCCGCTGCTGCAGCTGTATGAGATCCCTTCAGCCCAGGAACTGGAACAGGAGATTAAAGTTTGTCAAGAGCAGGGAGAGGTCTGGTTCTCTGTTATCTTACTCAAAGAGCATTACAGCCCTTATCTGTTGGGCAAGCCAGGGACACAGACCAGGAAACTGCTCATCACTTCAGGCAGAGACAGTGAATTTTCATCCTTCCAGTCATTATACAAAGGAAATATTTGCTCCTGCCATTGGAAGGGAGCCATGAGCTGAGCCAAGCCAAACCAGACACCTTACCCACACCTAGGAAACACCTTATGGGTGTTAACCTGACCTTCATTCCCTGGAAAAGCATCCTCCAGCACCAACAGCCACCCAACTCCCAGAGCCCTTCCCCAGCATCCATGCTGCCAGGCAGCTGAGCTGCAGGCAAGGTCCTCAGCAAACTGAAGCAGCTCCAGGTGGGAAACTTAAATATTTCTGCTAATTATCAGCAGCCCCTTGCTGTTTTGTAAAGGTGCATGACAAGGCATTACCTTGCAACTCCTCCAAAGGAAAAAAACCTTCTGTGCTAATGCAGTTACAGGCAAAAAAAAATAAAAATCATTATATGCAGGTAAAGATTCTATGCAGATAAACACCCACTTTCTTGGTGTTGCTATGAAGCTAGTGTTGCCCACTGGATCCCAGGGACAGGGCCAGCCCTTTTGGGATCCTGGCCAAGTCCACCTGCCCCTGTGAGTCACCTCTAATTGCTCTGCACAGTCACAGCAAGTCCTGGCTGAGCAGAGGAGATCTGCATTCCTGACGTGGTTATACAGAAGTTAGTTGATTTAATAAATCTCATTAGGCAGGCATTTGGTAGCAGTGAAAGCCAGGGAGGACAAGCCCTGAGCCCAGCTCTCCTAGGCATGGGTGTGTGTTCCACCTCATTTGGAGCCTGGCTAAAAGCCCCTGGAGGTCCTGCCAGCCCAGCTCAGTCACCATAGCTGAGTCTCAAAGCACACGTGGGTTTTTTTCCCAAATATATTTGGGTGTTGTCTCTCATTTGGTCATTAGCCCTGTGGTTACTGAGGCATGTCACAGTGAATGTTTAGGTCCAGTTCTGCACTGACAAGGGAAATTGTCTTTAGCCAGTGGCTGGTTCACCACCACAAAAACTGGGATGCCCATGAGAGGCCAAGGCTGGAGAAGTTTTGCTTTAGGAAGACACCTTTGTGTGTTCATTCTGCCATCAGTGCTGCTCCTGACACAACAGAGACCTCTCCTGCTGAGAGAGGCTCAGGGAGAGAAACAAGGGCAAGTGTCAGGAACAAGGACTGGCACAAGCTCAGGGGTCTGAACAGCACCGCGTGGGAAGGAGGAGGTCAGGAGCTGGGAGTGCAGCCAGAGAGGTGCCCACAGCAGCAGAAAGTCAAGGCAGAAGAAGCCAGGGTGGCTCTCATGCCTCTGCCTGGCTCACCCCTTGCTTTTCCAAAAACACAGAGTGAAAACAATAGTCTTTTAGAAAGCACTAACCTTCTGGTGCCAAGCTGGGGGAGCCTCCCACACTGCTCACAGGCAAACAAAGCCTCTGTGTCCTCCTGGAGCCCCAGCACGGGCAGCAGGTCCTGGCTGCTCCACCTGCAGTGGGTCCCAGGGAGCTCTGGCTGTCCCAGCCCAGTCCTGGGCACTGAGGTGTGTCCCAGCAGCAAAACCCGCTCAGCCTGGGACGTGGCAGGCAGCACGGGGAGGGCTGGGGCTGAGCCAGGGTGTGTGGGAGCAGGTGTGTGCCTGTGTGTGGGTGTTTCTCCAGCTCAAACCCAACACCACTCAAACTGACAGCAGGGTAAGCTCTCATTTCATCTTCTGTGCTGATATCTGTGCCGGGAGAGGCGTCTCCCTGTGCTTTCTGTCTTGTCAGGAGAGCTGGCTTGGGAAGGAACAGTTGCTGGGGATGGTTCATGCACATCTTGTAAGCTGTGCTGACAACAGCTCTTGACAACTCCTACCATCAACTGCAAATTTCCCAATGCTTCGTGTTTGCTTCAAGGCCCAGGTCCAGAATTCATTCAGTCCATGGGGAAATAGGAAAAAAGGAGGTGGAAGAGGGAGCAAAAAGGGGATTTGAGCTGTTCTGGTTGAAGAGACACTTGAAAATGAGATCTTTTAGGGCTCCAGCAGCAGGCACTGAGCAAAAAGAATGAGATTTTTCAAAAATAAAAAAAACCAGTCTTAGGAATTTTAAGCTGGTCTCGTGAATTCAGAGGCCAACTCAGTATCAAAATTTTTGGATTTGGCAAAGTTCCAACAACCAGGGAGGAAAAAAAATTGATGTGTGACTCCAAGTGGGTGTTTTCAAACAGCATCTTGTTTGGGGAAAATAATCCCTCTTGGTCTGCTTTGTTTTCTCGTGATTCTGGAAGTAATTCTCCTTCTCAGGGAGAAGAATTGGGCTTTTATTTTTCTGTCTAACCATGGGACCTACCCTGGGTCACACTTGACCATGGCTGGTCCCCCATCCCTGCTAGCACTGGGGGGAGTCACCAGCTCAAAGTGTTAAAGAAACA